TATAAAATTATTTTCTGTGACAGGTACCTAATTTGTCACTAAGAGCATTAGTGACAAGAGTTTTACTAATGGTTTAAATTTTATCACTAATAATAATTTGTGACGAAAAATAACAATTTAATGATCAATAATTTAGTCACTAAATGTGGATTTTCTTGTAGTGTGCATCCATATTGGATTACTATGCGTGCAAGAAAATTTACTGCAAAGGCCAACCATGGGTCAGTTGTTTCCATGCTTGCTGGCTACCCTGTGAGTCTCCCAGTACCCTAACACCCAGCATTTTTGCTCATACACAGTGGCATACAAACAAACACATCATCTTTCCGAGATCCTATGACTAGCCCACCAGAATCAAATCAGTCCAATAATGGAATGGGTTTGGCTTCAACGAATCAACTTATAATTTCCGGGCTACATCCAAGATAGCTTGATTATCAGTACAACTGTTGTCAAGGTTGGAACCAAAAATTCAAGTCAAGGGGTAAAAAGTTGAAATTTTTTGTGAGTTATTTATTAATTCACATTAGTATAATTTACACTAGTTTATATATCAATTGTTAATTTTGTATATCTATCACTTAAGTTATCCGTACGTGTAAAACTTTAGATTAACTTTACATTAATTAGATATATTTAGCTTTATCAAGATTATTAGATATATTTAGCTATTTTTTAATGATATATACCTAAAAATCCTTAAATAAATAGTATAAAAATATAGTTCATAGTTTTGAATGGTTATAGCTATATCAAAACAACTTTAAATTTGAAATGTATGATTTATATGAATAGAATAAATTCAACCATTATTTTCATAGAATATAAATTGTACATAAAAAAATTATATACAACTAATGTAAAAACTTATATAAGTTATATCAATGTAATTAATTAAATCTTGACTATTTTTTTAATAATTTTTTACCTAGACCAAATTATTATATCCTAAAAGAGAGAAATGATTCCTATACCTAAATCCCAAATATTTTCTTTAAATTTGAAATGGTCCCAATAATTCAAAAACTCAAAATACAAAATTTTGTAAGAAAAAAGTTAATGTACCATATTTGAAAATTTTCAAAAGTTTAGGGAGGCGACTGCCTTCCTCGTCCTACATTGGCTCCGTTCCTGACCATTGTTTATGAGTTATGGTATTGGACATTAACAATTTATTCTTGCTTCCTTTTATTTTTGGAACAAGATGTTATAATTTTTTAACTGTTTCAATTTCAAGTGTAGAAAGGCAGTTGATCAATCTTGTCAATAGAGAAAAGAATAGAGTGACTGATGTTTTTCCTTTCTGGGATTTTTTCAAGTACATGACTTTTCACTTTTAAATACAAGTTGTTAATATTCCAGAATGGGAAACCCAAATTAACAGGCTGGTTTTCAAATTCTGTGAATTGATGATGTGGTCCATGGCGGCTTTTCATCAACTAGACAACGACTTCCACCATCTCCTTCCCTTTTTCCCTTTTTCCCTTTTTTTTTTTTTAGAACAATAAAAACTTGATAAATTTAGTCCAAGCCGTTTGTTCATCCAATCAATCTTAATTTTCAACAACTAAACACGCCATACAAGCGAATATTGAATTCTGGAATATCATTCTTCAAATATAGGGAACAAAGGTATTGATAGCATGGCACTTCCGATTGTGTTCGTAACAAAGATTATGATTTCAAGTTTCAACCAATTATTCATGATTCACCCAATCCTAGAAGGTTTTGTCTATATTAATACTACCAGATTATGAATTTAGATCATGCTTTCTAACTTGTTATTAATAAACAATAATTATAATAAAATTTTAGATCTTAAGTTTATGTATGATCGCTCTGATATCACATATTAAAATTTAAGGATTAATACACATAAAATTTAGAATACCAAATATAACAAATTAAATAAATTGTGTATCTCATATGATGCTCCATAGATGCTCCATAGATTATGTAGAAATTGATAGAAGTCTTTGCTAAGATCTTATTCTTCTTACACCACAAAAGTAATGATTCTCAATAGGTAGATACTGAACAATTGGTGTGAAATGGGAAGCTACCCTTTAATTTATATCAAAACGCTAATGATCACAATTAAGGGTCTATTGGGTTTTGGTCTATTAGAGTCTATTAGGTTTGACTCTCAATAGGTTTGGATTTCTTAGGGTCTATTAGATTTGACTCTCAATAGGTAGATACCAAACAATTAGTATCAAAAGGGAAGCTAGCCTTTAATTTGATCTTTCCATTAAGGGTCTATTAAGTTTGGGTCTACACTTACCATCTCCACATTATACTCATGAAATGTTTTAAGCCCACACACAAATAATCACAATAATTAGGCGTCTCACAAATGTCTTATTATTTTGGACCAGCACAAGTTAACTTGTTGGACTGAATCAAAATACCAACTAATAGAAACCCACACAAGTAAAAAATTTCTAACATGTATTTCAATTTTCATGAGAGAATCAATGAAAAATCACCAAAGTATGGTTTTCTTATGTTTATTTTGATCTTTATGTGAGTTTAATTTTAGTTTAATTGATTCCATATATAATGTAGCTGTTGAATGCTTTTTGGTGGGGCGATTACTGTCTGTTGTTTGGAATTTTTGGAAATTTACTGTTTAGGAAGAAATTTGCTGCATGATTTGTATAAGCTATGAATTTTCCAAGTTTAGAACCAACCCAATGCTGGGTTTCCTAATTTTAGATTATTGCTGTATTCATGAACCATGAGACTTTGTTGTTTGTCAGTATTCTTGAGTTTATTCATTGCGACCAAAAATTGCGCATCTGTTGGTGAATTGCACATTTAATCCCCTGAATTTCTTGTTTATACATTCATTTTTGTTCACCTGTAGAACTCTAGGAACTTGGAATGTGGATTTAAAAAAAAAAACACAAAAACAAAAACAAAAAAGAGCTAAAGGAATGTCTCTAGTAGCTCGGTTGGGCCATAGTTTCGCCCAACCCAAATTCTTTGCCTTCTTTCGATATTGGGCCTTTTTCCCTTTCACATGCATTTTAACCTAATCATTTTCAAATCCATTCTACTTCTAAAAGGAAATTTCACTTCATTTTATTGTTTTGATTATCACATAATGAATAAAATTAACTAACCTGATTAGGCGTTAACCTTTAGTCAAACATTTGATTAGGTTAAGCTCAAACATTTTAAAACTCAACAAATCTCTTTAAAAAATAAAAATAATAATAATTCATTCCCAAAATTTCCAAAATTTCCAAAAGTTTGAAAGAAAAGTTAAAAAAAATAATAAGTTAATTAAAATTTTAATTTTGAAGTATGCAATCATATTTTAGTTAAAGAATTGTGAAGTGCATGTATATCTTTTCTTACTCCTAAGTGAACCCAAAACCCCAATCTCCCATAGACTATGGTGACTTACTCCACCATTATTATTATTATTATTATTATTATTATTATTATTATTATTATTTTTGACAAGTATAACATTAGTTAAGTGTTAGTATTTGTTTATAAATCAGCATTTAGAGTCGAAATCGGGTGATCCCCACCTACTACTCTTTAGAGTAGCATGGCCCATCTATTAGGTCACATGGGGGAATTCTACTCCACCATTAATTAAGTAGGCAATGACTCCAATTTTTTTTTAACCATTAAAACTTAATTTTACACTTCATTTTTGAAATTTTAAGTGGGGTGTCAATAGTGACATGCATATGGTGACGTAGTAATGAGGACAATTTTGAAAATTTAAGAATATAAATGGGACAAAAATGACATTGTGGACAAATTCATTACCACTCCCATAGTTAGAGACCAAAGAGGCAATTTAGCTTGTTGAAAATTGAACAAGATTGTTCTTGATCTATTTTAGTAAATAAAAGTTTGGGTTCATGTTTAAAATTGACATTGTAACTATAGAATTACTGAAGTAAAAAAAATGGCTAGTTTTTGTGCATTGTAACTAATCCCTCTTTGGCAATCTTAACAGCACAACCTTCACATGGGATTGATGCATTAAAAAGGGTTTTTATTTTGTTGTGTTATATTATAAACTTAACCAGTGATTCGACCCAAAATGTTGCTTTCGCTAGCAACCAAACTCGAAGAATGATCATTGTGGCAAAGGCTTCAATGCTCGGCGCTTTGTCATTTGTCATTTGTATTTGGATTGGTTTAAGCCTCTGAAAGCGAAGACTTTTCTGTAAAAAAATGAAAGTAACATTAATTTCATCTTGAAATATATTTACTTTATTCCGTAAAAAGAATTTTCAATTTCAATAAAAAAAATTCCAAGGAAAAACTTGTAATCGGAGAAGATACCGTATTCTCGTGCTTTCTTCCTGAAAAGGTTCTGATTTTTAATTTTTTTTTTTTTCTAGAACCTATAGATGAAATGATTAAGGTAGAGTCTTTGCAATATGATTTTGCCACTGTACGAGCTGCTACTAATAACTTGCGTGACCAAAATAAGCTTGGGCAAGGTGGATTTGGAGCTGTTCATAAGGTGATGACAAATATTAGAATAAAAACTTTATAATATTTACTGTCATATGTATGTATTGTATTTCAGTTATTGGACTCAAATGTTGTACTTATGAATTGATTTCCAGGGCCAGCTTTCAAATGGACAAGTTGTAGCTACAAAAAGGTTGTTTAGTGGTTATAGGTAGGTCAACTTAGAGTTTAAGAATGAGGTCTTCTTAGTGGCTAAACTTTGACACCGCAATTTAGTCAAGCTCTTTGGTTTCTGCTTGGAATGAAATTAAAGACTTTTCATCTTTGAATTTATGCCAAACGGGGCCTTCATTATTTGATATTTGGCATGTAACATTTTCCTTTTTGATTTTACTCTAAGATGAATATTTCATATTGTGTATTAATTAATAATGACTATATATGAATGTATATATAGGCCCTCAACGTGCACAATTGAATTGAGAAAGGCCTTACAAAATAATAGGAGGGATTGCTTGAAAGCTGAAGGACTAAAATGTAGTGGTTTTCCTACATAGCCCATTCCTCCGAATCTACAAAAGCAAAGCTCTGTTCCATTTTGCAGTCTTCCAATGGAAGAAAAATTGGTGGAATCATGCAAAAGGAGCAAACGAAACGGATCCACAGACTCCATTCTGCAATGAAGCCGATGGCAACTCCTCAATTCCATTCCCCCCACCAGCGGTTTCGCCCATTCCTTTGGCCTCGAGGTGGTTATTCAAGCGCACGTCGTCTCCTGCCCCAACGATCTCAATACCTTCGTGAGCCATTTGCTGGAGAACACTGGCAGCTTACTTCTCCCTTTC